AATTTGCGCGAAGCAATCCGCCAGAAACGTCCGAATTTGTGGAAAAATAAAAATTGGCTTTTGCACCATGATAACGCCCCTGCTCACACATCGTCGCTTGTGCGCGAATTTTTGGCTAAAACCAACACAGTAACGATGCCACAGGCACCGTATTCCCCAGATCTGGCTCCCTATGACTTCTTCTTGTTCCCAAAACTGAAGAGGCCCATGAAAGGACGGCGTTTTGCCACGATTGAGGAGATAAAGACAGAATCGAAGGATGAACTAAACAAGATCACAAAAAATGATTTTTTGAAATGCTTTGAGGATTGGAAAAAGCGTTGGCACAAGTGCATTATATCCGAGGGGGATTACTTTGAAGGAGATAAAATAAAAATTGATGAATAAATAAATATTTTTTGAGAAAAATAAAAATTCACCTTACTTTTTCATCACACCTCGTATATGCAACATGAGAAGAAGGAAAACTATGAATACCTAAGCGAAGAGATAGAGGAGAACAGAGGAAAAACAATAATTATAGGAGGAGACTTCAACGCAAGAACAGGAAACGAAGGAAGAGAATGGAAGACAGAAGAAAACCTAGAGGAAATAAAGGCCAAGGATAAAGTGTTAAACGCAGAGGGAGAAGAAATTATAAAATGACTAGGAGAAATGGGCTTAGTGATAACGAATGGGAGAAAAGAAGGAGATGAAGAGGGAGAAATAACATATATAGGAGCGAGAGGAATGTCAACGATGGACTATGTGGTAGGTAACGAGGAAGGTGATGAGGCGATAAAAAGGGTTCAAATAAAGGAGAGGGTAAAGTCGGACCACTTACCAATAGAGGTGGAATTGGGAGACAAAATAGCGGAAGAAAGAAAAGAAGAGGAAGAAAGAATGATAGACGACTGGAGCGAAGAAGGTATAAAGGAGTATCAGAGATGGATAGACGCAATAGAGGGAACAGAAAAATGGAAAGATATAAAAAATAGAGTGAAGAACGCAGTTGTAAAAAAGAAGATAAGGAAAAAAAAAGGATCAAAAAAAAGCTGGTGGAGAAAAGAATGTAAGGCAAAAAGGGATAGGGTGATGGCAGAGTTAAATAAGGTAAGAAAAGGTGAAGGAGACAGAGGCAAATACTTAGAAGCAAAGAGAGAATACAGAGAGGAAATAAGAAAAGCAAAAGAAGATGAAGGGAAAAGAGTGGCAGAAGAAATAAGAAAAGATAAGACGAGAAGAAAATTCTGGGATAAAGTGAATGGCAATAGGAAGAAAAGAATTAGATTAGATGAAAATATAGGTAAAGAAGAATGGATAAAGCACTTCAAGGAATAATTGGGAGAGAAAGAAAAGGAAGAAAGCAAAGGGGAAGAAACCGAAGACAGTGAAGGAGAGGAAGGTGAAGAAATCAAAGAAAGAGAAGTAAAAGGGGTAATAAGAAAAATGAAAAAGAAAAAGGCGACGGGAGAAGATGGTATAGCAAATGAAGCGTGGGTGGAAGGCACGGAAGGCTTGATAAAAGATATGACAAAATGCTTAAACGGAATATGGAACGGAGAAGGATATCCGGAAGAATGGAGAAAGGGAATAATAGTACCAATATATAAGAAAGGGAGGAAAGAAAAAGTAGGAAACTATAGAGGAATAACGCTGATGGATACGGGATATAAAATATATGCGGAAATACTGAGGAAAAAGCTGGAAAGAGAACTAGAAGCTAAAGAAATGCTAAGTGATACGCAGATGGGATTTAGGAAAAAAGAGGAACAATGGACGCAATATATATATTAAAAACAATAATAGGGAAGGAAATAAGGGAAAATGGAGGAAAACTGTTCGTATTCTTTGCAGACATGAAGGCCGTTTTTGATAAAATAAAGAGGAAGAAAATATGGGAAACAATGAAAGAGAAAGGGATAAATAGAAAAATTAGGAAAAGAATAGAAGAAATATACAAGAAAACAGGGAGCAATATTGGAGGAGAAATAATTGGGGAGTTTGAGACTTACAAAGGCGTAAGGCAAGGGTGCCCTTTGAGCACCACGCTATTTAATCTTGCCTTCGCCGACCTGGAAGTGAAGATCAAGCAGGTGCAGGAAGGAGGGGTAGTGATAGGAAGGAAGAAAATATGGACATTAGGATACGCAGATGATATAGTGATGATGGCAAAGAGTGAAAGTGGAATGAAAGCAATGCTGAAAAAATTAAAAAGATACCTGGAAGAAAGGGGATTAGAGTTAAATGTAGTAAAATCAAAGATGATGAAATGCAGGAGAGGAGGAGGAAGGGGGAAGGAAAAAGAATTCGAATGGGAAGGTGAGAAGATAGAGATGGTGAAAGAGTACAATTACTTGGGATATGTGATAAGCAGAAATAACGGAAATAAAAAGCAGATAAAGAAGGTAGAAGGGAAAATAAATATGGGACTCGGAAAGCTATGGGGACTAGGAGAAAAGCTATTTAGAGAAAACTGGGAGCTAAGGATGAACCTGTTCGATGCTCTGGCGAAAAGCATGATTATGTATGGAGCAGAAATCTGGGGATGGAAGAGATATGAGGAAATAGAGAGACTACAACTAAAATATATAAAGTGGGTATTAGGATTAGATAAAAACACACCAAGTTACCTAATACGATGGGAAACAGGAAGACAAGAAATGAAAGAAACAGTATTAGAAAGAGCAATGAAGTATGAAAACAAAATAAGAGAAGAAAGAGATGGCTCAATAAAAAAAGAAGCATGGAGAGAATTAAAGAAAAGGGAAAGAAATGAAAAAGATTAAAAGGGTAAGAAGGAGAAGAGAGAGGAAAGGCTGGAAAAAAGTAAAATATACAGAGAGAGGGAAGAGGGAGATGAAATGAGGGAAGAGTTTTGGAAGAAATAAGAGATGAGCTAAAGTAAAAAGATGAAAAAGAACTAGAAGAAAAACTAGAAAAATCAAGATACATAAACGAGTGGAAAGAGCTAATAGAAGAAATGAAAAGGTATAGGTTAAAGGACATTCAAGGAGAAGGAAGAATAAAAGACCTGCAAATAAGGGAAAGGTTTAGGTTAGGTAATGAAACGAGAGGAAGCAGGTATTGGGAAAAAGAAGAAAATAAGAGATGCAGAATGTGTATGAAAGAGGAAGATAATTGGAAGCACATGGTAGAAAAATGTGAAAAAAGCAGAAAGGAAGGGGAAGCATGGGAAAAAATAATAATAGGAAGCAAAGAAAAAATAGTGTGGATGATGGAGCTAAAATGGAAAAGAAGAAGAAACGAAGAGAAGAAAGAAAAAGAAAAAGAAAAAGACGAAATTACAAGACCCTAAAGACAAACGGGAACAGAAAGCAGAGATACGAGACTTGCAAACACATCTACATACGCACACACACACACAAGACACAAGTAACAACAACTACACAAGCGAGAGGAAGCTGGTATTGGAGGATAGAGCAAAGTGGAAAAGAAGAAGAATCGAAGAAGAGAAAGAAAAAGGTAAACTAGAAGACAAATCATAAGATACTAAGGAAAAATCAGTGAGGTTGAGAAAAAGAAAGGCAGAGGGAGCAATAGGAAACAAGAAAAAGGTGTCAAAGCCTTTATAAGGAGAAAGATAGATGAAATGATTAGCAAGAAGGAGAGCAAAAGCAAAGGAAAGGCAAAGGTGAAAAGGCAAAAGAAAGTAATAAAGAAAAAGCTGAAAAGAAAATATGCAAGAAAGAGAAAAAAAAAACAGAAGAGCGGAAAAGGCAGATCTTGGAGAGAGAAAGAGGAAGAGAAGATTAATCAGAAGAAAAATGAGAAGACAAGAGGTACAAGCAGGCGCAGAAGACAGGGACACAAGAGTTGCAGAGACACCTATAAATCCACATATTTACACAACACACACACACGCGCGCACGCGCGCACTCACACACACACACACACACACACACAAAACACATACATAATCAACTACACAAACTGGATACGAGACACAAATAGTAATATAAGAAATGTCAACAAATGTAACATATAAGTTGTAAATAAATAAATAAACTAACTAACTAAATTTATGATATTCTTAATTTTATCGTCGTATAGAGAGAGAGACATAACGAGCTGACGTCAAACTCGTTATAAGGTCTCTTTTGGATTTCTCGTAAAAAGCTAGAAAAAGAATGACCTCGACCTTGTCCGTAAACACTGGAGCTATACAGACTGAACCCAACCCATAACTAGATTAATCCTAGAAACCATCGACTGAACTTCAAGGTCATCATTTACCCGTGACCTGAATACATGTTGAGAAGTAAAATCTCCTACTATTTCGATTGTGGTTGCCAAAAATAGGGTTTCTTATTTGAAGAAAACCAAGTTAACCATTAAATATCCTTGAACGTCATACTCCAAATCAAATACAAGTTCGCCAATGGATTAATTGTTATTATTATTGTTATTTCAAGAACTACGTCCATGTAAAACGCTGCAGAGGTAAATTAAGTACCTGTACGCGTTGGTCTTGGTTGTCTATAGTCATGAATATGCAGCTCACCTGTCCGATCACTTTTTTTTAAATAGTGTAGGAAGATAAAGTTTTATACGCATAATGACTAGACCTACAGTTTGAAGTAGAATCCGAATCACTGGAATCACGGTAACAGACATGAAAATTTTATTTCTGAAAATCTTCACATGTCCAGGACTCGAACCCACGATCTCTTGCAGAGAAGCCTGGACTCTTACCCACTGAGCGACCGTGACACCAAAGTTAAATGTATAAAAATAAATAGAAAATAACCTTGAATTTTTTTTTTAATTATATCTAGAATATTCCTCGAATATTTTTAGACATCTTATATAAGAAAGTATAACTTGTATGAGAGTATGTAAGTATAAAATTACATCTTGTATGAGAAAGTACCTCTGCTGCTTTCTCCGATTTATTACTGAGACTCTTGATTCTATTTATCTTTTTTTACATTTTTTAACATAAGAATTCATTAAATTTTCCGATAATGTAATAATCATAGTTTTGAAATATTCTACAGGTGGTATTTCATCCGGAATTCCTTTCATCCACAAATCCACTATTTGGATTAGATTATGAAGAATTTGTGCGGGGTTGTCATCTCGGTGTTTTTCCGTCTTATTATGAACCTTGGGGTTATACCCCAGCAGAATGTACTGTGATGGGAATTCCAAGTATTACGACGAATCTATCTGGATTTGGTTGTTTCATGCAAGAACATGTAGCAGATCCAATGAGCTATGGAATTTACATCGTTGATCGTAGATTTATTAGTTTAGAAGCGAGTGTACAGCAGTTAGCACAATATATGTTTGATTTTTGTCGACTAAACCGACGTCAGCGTATTATTCAACGAAATCGTACGGAACGTTTGAGTGACCTTTTAGATTGGAGAAATCTTGGAATTGTAAGTATACTGAAAATTACACTGTATATCAATGTATGTTTCAATAATATTAACTTCTGAAGATGTAAGTTACGGAACAAATATGCTTGACTATATTTATTGCATCATAAATGTATAATGTCATCAACAAAAAAAAGTGAAATACTTTTTAAATATTTAATTTTTTTCTAAAAATCAGCTCAGCTTTATACAAATATAGTTGAACTGAAGTTGGACTCGAATTTATGAGTTTATATTCTTACTCCTAGATTTTTAATTTTATACATACCTTCAACCTAAAAAGATAATAAATTAGCAAAGCCATAAATTTCTTTGCCCATTCTAACTCATGGACAGCTTTAATTATTTTTTGCAAGAATTATTGTAAAAATGCATAAATATTAAAATTGTATCTAAGTGAAATTATATAGCTCTCTTTCTCTCTCAGTTCGATATCAATTAGTGAACGATTGCAATGAATATTCCCTGCTGTTTTATATGAACCTCTTGTAAGTGAGTAAATTCCTTGTCGATCAACGAAACATTGACTACCAGTGTATATAATGTTGTCGCATCTTTCGTATCCATGCGACAGACTCGAAGGTAATTAAAAAACAGTGCGATCGTGAATGGTTTCTGCGATAATTTGCAGCTAATTTTTTACAGTTAACAACTAATAAAGAAAATACCTCAAGTGTTCCTTGCTGATTTCAGTCTTTATTTGATATATTGTAAAGCATTAAACAATAAAATACACGTGTTTTTTTTACATACGAAAAAAGCTTTTTGGGAGCTGAGACAGCCTCGCTTCGCTCGGGCGACTAACTTCGCCCGTGCGGAGATCATCTACTTCCCGCACGCGTTACGTAATGTACTATGTTTCGATTCCCAAACTAGAAACATCATTAGTCGCGAAGCGAAATCAATGTAAATATGTATGTTAGGTAATGGTAAAGCTTTTTAAATTGATAATAAAGTGACTTATTCAGTATTGTAACAAGAATTTCCCCGAATAAGTTCTCCCTTACACTTGTAACGGTAAACGTCGAATTAGCGCTAATAGCCTAACCTAGTGGCTGCCTGCGGGGGCAGCACTTACCGGTAGACGAAAAATGTAACGAGGGAATTCGGCACACGACGAGGCGGAACGCGCGCGATTGAAAACGAACCAGTGCAGGCCTAACTACCGATACGAGGAGCGGCGAAGATAGGTTCAGTCGCCGTTTCACGAGACACGCATAAATCGAAAGCGAGATCGAAGTCCTCCGATCGCAGGTGGTTTGGTTGTTGCCGAGACGCTCAGAGAGAGCTGACCTGAGCCTGCAGACGCGGTGCCTTCGCCTGTTATCACAAGTGTGTGTGTGTGTGAGGTGTTTCGCCATCGAAGGCGAAACCGTGCGCGCGCGAGTTCGCGACCCACAAAAAAAAGGGGGAACAAAAGACTTTGCCCGAACGCGCTGTGTGTGCTGAGTTTCGTTCGCTGCCGAACACTCGTCATTAAGGTAAGCTGGCCAGCTTGATCTCGCGACCACGATAGCATGTCTAATAACCAATTTTCCGTACTCGAAGTAAAGCGTGCATGTAACATCTCGGCAAACAAAGAACGGCGAGCGATCCGACACCGCATGTTATTGTCGTGCGCGGTAATGTAAACAAACGCGCGGGCCGAATTTGATGTAATATTGAGAGATAATAAAAGTTCTCGTATGTGATGCTAACAGTACTTTCGAAGTGTTCTTCTCGTATTTGTAGTTAGTTGGTTGACTGACACCCGTTCCCTCTTGCTCTCCGACTTTCGTATTTAACATAGGTAATTACGTGCGCTTTTCAATAAGATTACGCGGATAAAATTAATTAAAACGGCATTAACCCCCGTTACACACTATATAATTTTTATTACCGGATTTCAGAAAAATATAAATATATATTTAAAACAAAAATGAATTTAAAATAATAATGATAAAAATATGTTTAAATAAAATAATTATAATAATTTATAAAAATATATTTAAATATAAATAAGCTTTTTTTCGTCTAGAATACGATGAACTACCAAATTATTGTACTACTTATGTAAAAGATAAAAACAAGATAATGTTAAAAACTAATTTAACTAAAAATTAAATTAAATGGATACAAATATTTTACTTGTTTATCGCGTATAAGTGAAATATGAAATTAAAAAAAATTTTTTTAAATATAAAAAATTTTAAGAGAGTTCGTTGACGAATTATAAGATATCTTTGCCTTTGGAACTTTTTGCTCAACTTTATAGTCTTTGAGAAAAAGAACAATAATGAGAAAAACAGGTTTTTAGGAGATTTTTTTTATAAACAAATCGACATATTTAATTTTGTATTTGATAATTTTGAATTTTGAGCCCGGATTCATATTTAGAATGCCCAAAAACATAAGATACGGTATCTTCGATCATGAATTTCGTGGTCGATAACACGGCGTTAGATCGATGGTTTTGAGCGTTAATGGGTTAGACAATAAATCACTATTTCATGAATCCAAGGTGAAACGGGCCGCTAAAAATGGTTTAAAGTATCTTGTATACATATGATAAAAGTAATCTGAAAGTTACAGGATGATCGGCGATTAACACTTGGGTAGTCTTACTTGTTAGTTAGCAGACAAAATCCAAACGTAAAAAATTATTGCAACCTAAAAAAGAAGAAAAAGATAGGTATGATATACAAGAATTATCTAAAAAAGAGGAAAAATTATATGATAGTGGATTGGAAGAGGCATTGAATGCTAATGAACAACTGAAAAATAATGATAATATATTTCATATTCCTGAAAGAGATTCACTTAATAAGTATTTATCAATTTTGCGGAAAAATCAAGTAACAACATTAGATACTATCTGTGGAGTACGTCAAATTAAAGATGGTACTCCTAAGATTGGTGATAGATCATTGAATTTTGAAAATAATAACTGTTATTCAAAAAAAAAGCCTGATAGCTCCATTGTAACTCAAAACGATTAAGGTACCTACGGTCGTATTATAAATAAAACGAATGCATATAAAAAGCATTACAAACCTGATGAGGAAACACGCTATCAAGCAAGTGAAAAATTTCAAGATAATATATCTCAGTTGATCAGAGTTACATCTTATAATACAACAAGTGGCAGAGGGTTTTCTTTGAAGTCACCTTGTAAAATTACACGATATAATAATCTTACTAATTATATATATTTGAATGATCCCAGTGAGCTTGTAGAATGTCGTAGATTATTAATTGCAGAGACATTAGCAGGCAATCAAAATCATGTAAATAAAATTTAGTGTATAATCGAAGAATTAAGAGGTGCAGAAATAATATATTAATAGTATTAGTTAGCTTTCAAGTTCATTATCATCATGAGCTTTGATCTCTTTAGACGTCAATTAAAATCACTTTCTACAGTTACCACTCAGGGTCTACCTGGCTTGGGATTCAAATTCACAGATGATGGTCAGTTTGATATAGAAAATGAAAGACTCTGCATAGTTACTAATGCTGCAGACATTCAAGACGCTATTAATCTTAAAGTTTTGCAAAAAGTTATCAGTGACGAGTTGGAAATAATTTTCATCATTATTAATGCTCAGAAGCGAGAAGTGGATAAAATAAGTTCAAATAATCAGATGATATACAGGGTGTCCCATTTTGAAGGAACCACCCCGAAATTTTCGACGGTTGGCGTTGTACAAAAAAATTGTTCAAACAACAGTTGTTCGGGACAATGGGGGCAACCTTTCTGTGAAATCCGATTTGACCTTGAGATTTATTTTCAAGGTCATTTGAAGGTCAAAATCATTTTTTGAATAGGATCCCATATTTTTGATCCCGGATTCAGAAAGAGCGGAAAATTCTACGTTCAGATAAAGTATTATATTGGGGGAGCGGTTCACCCCCCATCCCACCAGGGGAAGGGTGAGGTTAATAAGGTATTGATTACCCAGCCAGTGAAGGTAAGGTATTGATTACCCAGCCAATGAAGGTAAGGTATCGATTACCCAGCCAATGAAGGCAAGGTATTGATTACCTAGCCGGGTGCTGCGGGTAATACCTTGCCGCAGCACGATATCGGCCTTGACATGCCCCGAGAGACAACAGAATATCAACAATTTCGTTTCTCGAATAATCCGGCATATTCCCTCCTTTTAAGTCGACTAAGAAAATTACACTTGAACTATCCTGAGAAGGACTGTTCGCGAATAACTATTGTCATAAACAATACTAAAAAAGTGTTATTAAACAATTCAGTTGAAACTTTGTAGGCTTGTCCGGAATCACACCAGAAAAAAGAATGAAAATAACATGTTATCCCACAAAATGGAAAATGACACTTCTCATGAAGGCTTTGAATACATGAAGTCGACTTTGAAAATCAACCTGAAGTTTAAGCTCAAGGTCACTGTTGTTTTTACCCTGTAATTGTTTTGGGATATTGGGGTTATTGAATTATTGGGGTTATTGGTTTATTGGAGTATTGGGTTATTTGGAATATCGAAATATTGGGTTATTACAATTAACCTTACTCTTGCCCGAATATCCCTGTGCATAGATGAAGAAAATCATAAATTTGACCCCTACATGACCTTAGGCGAGGGGAGGGGTTAACCGCATCCCACACATAATACGTTATTTGAACGTAGAATTTGCCGCTCTTTCCGAATCTGGGATCAAAAATATAGGTTCCTATTCAAAAAATGATTTTGACCTTCAAATGACCTTCAAAACAACGCAAGTATCAGATCATTCATCAGCCAGCATTCGAATAAAATATAGTAGACCGCTACCCTTCAGTAAAAAAAAATAAAATACTCTCGTCTTCTCCAAGAAGACCGAGATAAAAACAAAAAAAATCTACATGGAAACAAATCACTTCTAAATTTTTAACCAACACTAGTCATTTTCCAGAACAAAAAGGCTATCAACAATTCGACAATTAAAAGAAGAAATACAAATGATCATATTATAAAACTTGTATAAGTATTATAATATAATAGCTATGTATA